GGAGAGAGACGGGGGAGAGGGAGGGAGGAAGAGAGAGGGAGAGGAGAGGGAAGGGAGGGAGGGAGAGAGAGGGAGAGGGAGAGGGAGGGGGGAGAAACAAGCATGCCAAGTTTTGAGTCCTCTCGGAAACATTTCCCACATCGCCCGTGTTCTTCCAGTCCCAAACCAACATTCCAAACTTGAACCTGGATCCCCAACCCAAATACCAACCAGGCTGGCTAAGGAGAAGAAAGGGAGGAGGGATGAAGCAATGATGCTTGCTTTGATCCAGACAGGCCAGCCCTCAGCCTTTCAGATGTTCTGCAGACCAATCCTGGGTGATTTGAGCCGATCATCAGGAGACTCTGAGTTCTAGTCCTGCCTTGGGCATGAAAGTCAACTGAGTAACTTTGGCCCAATCACCAGGAGATGGTGAGTTCTAGTCCAGCCTTAGGCATGAAAGACAGGTGGGTGTCATCCCTTTTCACACCAACACACCTCACCAGTAGTAGGGAAAAGAGAAGATAGTATTAAGATACGTTCACTTATCTTAGAGTCGTTGGTGGGATATACCTAAAGTAAGTAATAAATAAACCCCGAAGGCCACCATCTTCCCAGCACACTCACTGATTGCAGAGTTTGGGACAATCCTTGGGCGAGCGGATGGCCGTGTGAAGACGCCCTCGGCGACTGCAAAGAAAATCTCCTTTTTTACTGCTATTGACTTGCCATTCGCAGAACGGGTCCTGGGGGAAACAGAAGAAAGCCAATCTGCTTACTGTCCACTTTGGCCTTTGGTCTTTTTAGCTGCCAACAGAAAGGGAGCGGGGAAAAGCAGTGCATTCCTTAAATGCTTCAGATATTTGCTAGGCAGCCGAAGCTGTTGGCGCGCAAGATTATTACTAGAGAGCATGATGGATGACTCTTGGCTATGGATGCGTCCCATTGGAGAATATACATCCAGGGGCTGGGAGGAAGCCCAGGGTCAAGGGGGAAATGAATGGTGTATTTTAATGTCGGCTGCATCCAGGTCACGCCAACATCGTCACTCCTAATAAATCATTTTTTTTTTTAACTCTGAGAGATGCGGCTAGAGACTCATGATTTGAACAGGGGCGGATTTGTCGGAGCCCTGACAGTTACAAGGCCCGCGGAGCCACAGCTGGCTCAAGAAAAGCCAGCAGCTGGCTGGGGAATTCTGGGAGTTTGGCAGGGATTCCCAAACTTGGCAAACTTTTAAGACTTATGTGGCCTTCCACATAAGTCTTAAAAGTTTGCCAAGTTTGGGGAACCTTGCCCAAAGCTTTAAAAGCCCAGCAGTCACCCCCAGCCCCGCTGCCTTGCATGCACACCTGCGCGTTCTTCCCTTCCAATGCAGAATATTTCTCCCTTTAAGGCAACCATCTTTTTTTTTTCCCCCCTACCTTGCTACAGGTGTGGCAGTCACGGTAGTCTTCACACAAGATGCAGTTGCCGGGCACCAGGATAAGGCGCACGGTGCCGGGACCGCAGCCTCCCACATCGTCCTGATAGGCCAGCCGTCGATGGCAGGTGGAGCTGAGCGGGCACCACCCGCAGCCCTGGTCGGCCAGGCAAGCGAGACACGAGTGGTAAGTGGCGCACTGCTCGGAACGGTAGGGCTCCAGGAAGAAGTAGGAGATTTCCTGGACAAGGAAGGTGGGAGGAATGAGGACAAGGCAGGTTTAAGCACCCCAAATCGATCCCCTGGCTGGGGTCATGCTCCCGATATTCCAACAACACTAGGTAGCCTGGCGTTCTCTCGTAGGCCTACACTTCTCCCCAAATTTCCCTCCTTCCTTCCTCCCCTCCCTTCTTCTCCTCCTCCTCCTCCTCCTTCGGTGCCTTCCTTCCCTCCTCTCTCTTGTCTTCCTTCTTCCTGCTCTCCCTTCTCCTTCCCTTTCCCTCCCTCCCACCTTCTCTCCTGCCCTGCCTTCTCCTTCCCCTCTTTTTCCTTCTGTCTTTCTTCTCCTTCCTTCCTTCCCTCCCTTTCTTTTCCTTCTTCCTTCTATAACCCCTTCCCCCTCCTTCGTTCCTTCCCTCCCTTTCTTTTCCTTCTTCCTTCTATATCATCTTCCCTCTCCTTCTTTCCTTCCTTCCCTCCCTTTCTTTTCCTTCTTCCTCTATCCTCTTCCCCTTCCTCC